ACATACAATGTACATGTATTATTGGCATATGGACATACAATGTACATGTATTATTGGCCAATTAAGGGACCATCATACAAACACAATACCTTCAAGAGTCCCATGTCAGTTAGGTCACCTCAAAGAAGGAATGAAGCCAATATGTCTGATCACAGATAGCCCTATAATTCAATATTACCTTTTGACATATGCACACCCTTATTAAAATCAACTGCATAGTAACAAAATGATTTACACAACCATATTATAAAGGAATATAAGCTGAATTTACCTGTTTAAGAGGAAAACAGAGCTAATTTGTACTGGTCTAAGTTGTCTGGCTCCCTGTTGATAAAAGTAGGAGGGTCAGTATGTTTCTATGACAACTAGGTGTGTTAATTTAATGGTTGAAGTGTGTATGTGTTGAAACAGCACACTTAGTGTGCTGTTTTAGCAATTTAGCACACCTACAGGTAGAACAACACAGTGAAATGTGTACCAAATAACACACTCATTTTTTGTGTGTATTCTATTGCAATTTCTGGACCTGAATCAATTTCACTAATAATAATTAACACCCACAATTAATACAGTATTATAGTCTGATTACTTAATGACCCTCAGTTTTAGTACATACTACCAATGGTACATTACAAAAATTACATTAAAAAAGATATTAATCTGCATCCAAAAACAATATTAGCAGTAAAATTAAGTTACGATGTACATATCATATTAAGTCTGTGAAATTCAATATACAGAATTTTTAATAACTGACCTTTAAATATTAGTTTCTGGGCTTCAATATGAACAACAAACTTTCCATGAATAATAATTTTCAAGTCACCAATGCTAGTGCTATCAGGATCCTCCAGTAATATATCCTCTACCTTTGATCCCGTGACAATAAATACTGACTATTATTAACAGATTAACCATGACTGACATGAATGCTGAATATTATTGCTAATGACCTGAAAAAGACAAACAAGTCCAATCAGTCTAATACAGACCACACCCAAACTGCACCTTCTTATAGGGTTTCTATCACGCGTGGTACCACGTGAGTATGAGCATGCGCAGATTTACTTGCCGTATAGTCTCGCGTAGCCAGCCCCTCCCTCAACGCATAGATACTATATATACCAAGTGGATACAAAACAGGATGCGCCTATGCTCTTTTCGCCGGATGTGACGTTTATCCTAGCTACACTTAGCAACCAAAATGGTGGCAAAATCAATAATTATAAAAAACTTCATAAAAATCTATATATCTTCTGAAAAGAGTCAATACAAGAAACAACAGACAATTTATCTTCATTGGTTTCATATTCATACCCTATTTGATGATCAAAAAAATAATATTATAATAATAGTTTTATCATTCTAATATGGTATATCACAATGACATTAACTAACTTTTTTTGAAGAAACATAGCTTTAAAATAATTATGAAAATATACAAACCGTACAAAAGGCATGTACGTAGACTCATACAAAATTATACCTCTTCAAATCGCATAGTTTTCCAGAAAAGGCGTTTACAAAACAGACCATTAATAAACTAAAAAATGGATATATTTCTATTTTATAAAACTGCAGTGGAAAGCTAGTAGTTACAGACCATGTAACACAATAATATCCTTCTTCTACCCAAATAGCACTTACTAACTCTGCCCCAGATTG